GCAAACCTTTTTATGGCCGTGCTCGGTTATCAAAAATATAAATATTAACCAACACATCCCCGGTTTAAATTAGATTGAACATTCGAAACGCTAAAGAAGGGGCCCGAAAACCCATTTGGGAGTTTTGAAGGCATTGTTTTGGGTGCAGGAAGAAACCGAAATATTTGATTCATTTTGATTTCATAGGATATTTTTATCGCGGAGATACGGGAAAAATAAGTTTTAATATTAATGATATGCCTTTTTTTTTTTTTTTTGGTGTCGAGATTAATTAATTGGGAAATTTTCGGAAAACATGAGAGGAGTGTGACCTTGCTATAATGGTAAAAACCTCCGCTTTATTGTTTTTCTATCTACATTTTGCCTTTTTTCACGACAGGTAATTTTTTTTTTTTTTTTTGGAGACTCTTGGGTTCTTTTTAACCTACACAAGTTTTTCAGTCCGTATGTCGGATGTAGCTGCACTGGATCTATAAAACAAAAATGATATTCATCGCGCTCCCGAAAAATCGTTTGATTCTTCTTGAAAACTAATGTTTTATTTTTAAATGAATGAATTGAAAAATTGTTCTCACTCGATTCAGAATTTCTTTTGTCGTTATTGCTGATGAATAGAAATTTACTTTTGAATCCAAATCACTAGAAAATTGTGCAAGTTTCTTTCAAAGGCATTATATTTCTGTTGCGTCTTATTGCTAGTCTTTTTCGAACAAGTGGCCAAATATTAAGCTCATTTACATTACCCTAAGTCTACCAAAAAAGGAACAGGTCACTAATAATTTTCATTGACCATTGAGCGACTCATGTGTATATCAATGGAACGGAAAGTGATAAGAATGTCTGAGTTTAACTACAGCGTTTCCTTTTTTTATGGTTACTCGTTTTCAATTACTACGATGACAACACTTTTTTTCAACCCCAGAAAGGTCACCACTGACATTTAACGTGTTTGAAATTCATAGGCGCCCGACTAATTTTTAGACAAATACTTCACCCCCTCCCACTTCCCGATCTTCTATACATCTTCAAAGACTACAAATTAGAACATAAAACTATATTTCTTACAAAACTTCTTAACCAAATATCATTTTCCTAACTGTACCATAAAGTATAAAATAAAAGTCCCCGAAAACCTCAGCGTTGTTACAGTAATATCACTAAAAAAGCATTCGGCGCCCAAAAATCTAAATTTTCTTTACAAATCGCAAAGACATGCACGCAGTAATATCTCTAATTTCATTCCACTTGTCAGGATGACCTTCGATGGGGGGCGTACAGCAGTAATGCAATGGAGTTGTGAGAACTCATATTCTCATGATAATAATAATCTGCATCATTAAAAGTGTGTCTCATTACACTTGCTCGCAGCAGTGCAAACGGACACATATGTCAACATTGTGTCTGTCAGGTTATACGGCATCATTTTTTTCCACAGACACAGGTACAAAGAAAATACAGCTTGAGCAGTCCAATACAAAAGTCTATATGCAACAGGAAAAGGATGGCAACACAAATGAAAACATATCAGGTATTTATTGACCATTTAACTCATTTTTATGTACATCTAGCAAAGTATCTGAGGCAAAAAAAATTTGAAACTTCTTTGGTTTTTCTTCGTTTTGTTTTTTTTAATTTTGGTGAGACATATTGTTGTGGTACAGTTTTCATTTGTAACACATTACTCGTGAATCCTCAGAGATAACAGCAAAGACAACCGAACTGGATCAATCAAATAACGCGTTATACCTTTCACGTGCCAATGAGGAAATCACAACTGAAAAAGATTCAGGTATTTTCTAGAAACATTTTCTTTTGCTCCTTAGAAATTAAATTAAGATAGAGCTCCATCAAAGCTAAATATAAACCTATTCTTTTAATTTCTTTTTAGGCAGTAGGACGAGCTAAATTTAAATTAAAATTAATATATTTTAAAAATATTTGTATGTCTATGAAGCTTCGAGGAAAACAGAAAATACAACTGCAAATAAATCTGAATTGGACCCAAAAAAGTATAGAGCGTTCTTTCTTCAACAAAAGAAAGAAGCAGATACCAATAACCCTTCAGGTAATCGATATGCGTATTTCATATAATAATATCTATATTTTACTTACTTAGCGCGACATCTGAAATATGCGTTATCTATTTGTGCATTTGTGCCACTTAAGTGTGTGTGCTTCGATTAAAGTTTTAACATCTATTATTTGCGTTTCTTGAAGACTTACCGAAATAAAAACGCTTCCAAGACGAGCGAGTTGGACTTTTCAAACTATACACACTTCTTCATTTAACTTCAAGATAAACTCATCACTCAGATCAATTGACCATTTGGACATAGATCTTTTGGCCTTTTCCTTTACGATCATAATTATCATTCAGATCCATTGACCATTTGGACATATGCCATTTGCGTTCCGTTAGATGGGCCCTTTGTCTCGATGTTGGGTTCCTTACTAGGCTGCCAGATGGAGAACAACACAATGAAGTCTGAACGCCGTCCTACTTCTCTTCTCTACACGCCTGACGTTTTGTAATAGAGACACGAGGCGCTTTTAAATTGTATTCTGATCTCTTTAACAAATTGTTGTATAGAAACTGGAAATACAATTTTAAAAATTCATCTTTTTTCCCCCTTTCCAAAACTCCACACTCTAAAATTATCTACTCTCCAAACCGGCATTGACAAATCAACAGCATTCTAAGTAAATACCTGCACTGATTTTTACATGATCTCATAGTTAGAGTATTTTCGTTCTCCCCCCCCCCAACCTACCCACAACGGTGGCGTAGGAAGGATGTACGGAGGGAGTGGTCGGCAAGGGCAGCACTGTTTGTCTCTTGTTTTGTCAAATTTTCGGCCCCCTTCCCCCTAATTGTTCGATATTAATATTAAATTTTTAAAAAGATTTATTGGAAAAAAATCTATGTTTTCATGTCTGCGTGTTCTTAAGGGCTGTTTTATTTCCAATTATTTGGTCTACCTTAAGGATAATTAGCTTGAAACTTAATTGACTAATTCTATGTACCTATTTTTCTTTCGCTATTGAAACCCTAAGTAAACCCTACGTAGTTCAGGTCCTTTAAGCACCTTGATTTAATTTATATGTTGTTTTTTCCCCTCTTTCGTTTTGTCTTCCTTTATATTCATTGTTGTTTTGTCTAAATTATTTAAAAATATGTTCCTTTAATTTCAATTCCAAGATTCAATTGTAATAGTAGTTCTGTTTCTTAAGTTATTTCCCTTTTTTTTAAATCTGATATCAACGCTCTATTCTTGCATTCAAAATTTTAAATTTTTACCATGTGAATTTCTCAGAACCTACACAGATTACAGGCAATACAACTCAACAGATGTATGCATTAGACAAGCCATATTATACACTTTTCTTTCTACAAGGTAATGAAGAAAACCTCACAGCAAATGAGTCAGGTATGTGACAGTTTTATTTTTCATTTATTTGGTCTACCTCACGAATGATTAGCTGAAAAGTCATTGATTTATTCTGTACACTTTTTTTTTCTTTCTACAAGGTAATGAAGAAAACCTCACAGCAAATGATTCAGGTATGTGGCAGTTTTATTTTTCAATTATTTGGTCTACATCACGAATGATTAGCTGAAAAGTCATTGACTTATTCTGTACACTTTTTTTTTCTATCTACTAGGAAATAAAGAAAACAGCACAGCAAAGGATTCAGGTATGTGACAGTTTTATTTTTCATTTATTTGTTCTACCTCACGAATGATTAGCTGAAAAGTCATTGATTTATTCTGTGTACTTTTTTTTTCTTTCTGCAAGGAAATAAAGAAAACAGCACAGCAAATGAGTCAGGTATGTGGCAGTTTTGTTTTTTCATTTATTTGTTCTACCTCACGAATGATTAGCTGAAAAGTCATTGATTTATTCTGTGTACTTTTTTTTTCTATCTACTAGGAAATAAAGAAAACAGCACAGCAAAGGATTCAGGTATGTGACAGTTTTATTTTTCATTTATTTGGTTTACATCACGAATGATTAGCTGAAAAGTCATTGACTTATTCTGTACACTTTTTTTTCTTTCTACAAGGTAATGAAGAAAACCTCACAGCAAATGATTCAGGTATGTGAAAGTTTTTTTTCATTTATTTGGTTTACATCACGAATGATTAGCTGAAAAGTCATTGATTTATTCTGTACACTTTTTTTTCTTTCTGCAAGGAAATAAAGAAAACAGCACAGCAAAGGATTCAGGTATGTGACAGTTTTATTTTTCAATTATTTGGTCTACATCACGAATGATTAGCTGAAAAGTCATTGATTTATTCTGTACACTTTTTTTTCTATCTACAAGGAAATAAAGAAAACAGCACAGCAAAGGATTCAGGTATGTGACAGTTTTATTTTTCAATTATTTGGTCTACATCACGAATGATTAGCTGAAAGTCATTGATTTATTGTGTGTACTTTTTTTTCTATCTACTAGGAAATAAAGAAAACAGCACAACAAATGATTCAGGTATATGACAGTTTTATTTTTCATTTATTTGTTCTACCTCACGAATGATTAGCTGAAAAGTCATTGATTTATTCTGTGTACTTTTTTTTCTTTCTGCAAGGAAATAAAGAAAACAGTACAGCAAAGGATTCAGGTATGTGACAGTTTTATTTTTCATTTATTTGTTCTACCTCACGAATGATTAGCTGAAAAGTCATTGACTTATTCTGTACACTTTTTTTTCTTTCTACAAGGTAATGAAGAAAACCTCACAGCAAATGATTCAGGTATGTGGCAGTTTTATTTTTCAATTATTTGGTCTACATCACGAATGATTAGCTGAAAAGTCATTGACTTATTCTGTACACTTTTTTTTTCTATCTACTAGGAAATAAAGAAAACAGCACAGCAAAGGATTCAGGTATGTGACAGTTTTATTTTTCATTTATTTGTTCTACCTCACGAATGATTAGCTGAAAAGTCATTGATTTATTCTGTGTACTTTTTTTTTCTTTCTGCAAGAAAATAAAGAAAACAGCACAGCAAATGAGTCAGGTATGTGGCAGTTTTGTTTTTTCATTTATTTGTTCTACCTCACGAATGATTAGCTGAAAAGTCATTGATTTATTCTGTGCACTTTTTTTTTCTATCTACTAGGAAATAAAGAAAACAGCACAGCAAAGGATTCAGGTATGTGACAGTTTTATTTTACATTTATTTGTTCTACCTCACGAATGATTAGCTGAAAAGTCATTGATTTATTCTGTGTACTTTTTTTTTCTATCTACTAGGAAATAAAGAAAACAGCACAGCAAAGGATTCAGGTATGTGACAGTTTTATTTTTCATTTATTTGTTCTACCTCACGAATGATTAGCTGAAAAGTCATTGACTTATTCTGTACACTTTTTTTTCTTTCTACAAGGTAATGAAGAAAACCTCACAGCAAATGATTCAGGTATGTGAAAGTTTTTTTTCATTTATTTGGTTTACATCACGAATGATTAGCTGAAAAGTCATTGATTTATTCTGTACACTTTTTTTTCTTTCTGCAAGGAAATAAAGAAAACAGCACAGCAAAGGATTCAGGTATGTGACAGTTTTATTTTTCATTTATTTGGTCTACATCACGAATGATTAGCTTGAAAAATAATTGTTTATATCATTTTATTGTTAGGAAGCTTAGCTACCATTTCAAAATCACAATCCTTGCATAATTTTCATATCTCGAAAGCCTCAACGAACGGAGAAAACAAGGATGCACAGAAAGACGAGAAGAACATGTCGAAAGGGACATTCTTCATATTACAAGAGAACGTAGAAAACGGGGACAGTGAGGACTTGGGTAACTAATAGTTCTAGATTGTTAGTTCTCTTCTCTGCAATAACATGAAATCGGTAAACTGCCCAAAATAAGATAAGATAAGATTCTTTTATGGATCCAAATAAATGGAAATGTTTTTTGATTGCATTATATATTTTCAGCACAAAAATAAAACAATTTGAACACAAGACATTTATAATAAATTATTTCAAACAGCCATTCAGTGAGTTCTCTTAGCAAAATAGGGGACTTATTAGTTCTCATTCAGATGTGTGACTTCAGAGGAAGCACGCCGGTAAATTGGTACAGATTGGGGAAGAAAAGAATTTTTATATCTGTCAGTCCTCGCCCTGATGGAAAGAACTCGTCCCGAACGGCCCGATCCTAAGTATCTAGGATGAAGAGGGTGGGATGTATCATCCAAAATAAGTTTAGTTTTGCAAAAACCTCTTTCTTCAAATAGTTCTTCAAGTGAAGGATGTTTAGTTTGTGTTATGTTTCTAGCTTTCTTGATTAGTCGGTTAATGCGGTGTTAAATATCAGACGTTGAATTTCCACACCAGCGGGCAATACTGAAATTAAGCAGGCTTAGAATAGTTGCACTGTAGAATAAGTTAACGACTTGCTTGTTTACGCCAAAATTGTACAGTTTTTTGAGGTAGACCAGTCTTTGCTTGAATTTCTTATACAGGATTTGACCGTGTTCGTGCCATGTTAGCTTATTATTAATTGTGACACCTAAGTACTTGTACGCCTCCACTTTCTCCACATTGTGATTTTTTTATGTTGAGATCTGTAATCAGGTGTTTCCCCCTCCTGAAACCTTGTCTAAAAACTCTCCAATCGCCCACCGAGTAGTGTGAGCATTTTGTATATAGTTATTACGAAATTATAATTTTGTTTGTATTGAAATTACAGCTTTTCCTTCCCACCAATTGAATATTTGTTATCATTCAAATATAAAAACGTGTGTGTGTGTATATATATATATATATATATATATATATATATATATATATATTTGTGTCTTTATATATATTCTAACACACACATTTTTCTGTATAGTACATATAAAAAATATTTTTTTTTTTTTTCCCACCAATTGAATATTTGTTATCATTCAAATATAAAAACGTGTGTGTGTGTATATATATATATATATATATATATATATATATATATATATATATATATATATTTGTGGCTTTAAAGTTAGCCTAAGCCACAGACTTTTCAGTCTAGTACAGATAAAAAACATTTTATTTTATTTTTGGTGATTTGATTATGTGATTTTCATTCAAGTCTGCCGTTTTTACTTCTTTAAAAAGTATCTATATTTTTGGAGAAAAAAAACAACACATTGATAATATATTAAATTAATGTGGCTTATAGTATATATTTTCCACAAAAAAAAATGATTAATGCCTTTTTGTAGGAACTTGTAAGAATTATTAAATATCTGTAATGTTTTAAACGATTCGTGAATAATGGCCTATCCGAAAGCAAGGATGACATTAATTTATAAAAAAATAAAATAAAATGATTACGGTAATAATACAATTAACTATATCTGTAGAAAACTAAAGAAAGAAACATGACCTAACTGCTGTTGCTAAGGGAAACAAAAAATACACATAAAAAAAAAAAAAAAAAAAAAAAAAAAAGAAAAAAAAAAAATTTAATTAAATAAAAAAAAAAATAAAAAAAACTGTAAAAAAAAAAAAAAAAAAAAAAGAACCAAACACAGATGCTAAAGGAAAAAAAAAAAAAAAAAAAAAAAAAAAAAAAAAAAAAAACATCAGCGTCAAACAAAAATATTAATAAACTAAAAAAAAAATAATAACTGTTCAACCATTTGAAAATTTGACAAATTTCTTGAAATTCTCTCGAACTCTCCAGAGCATCATTAAAAGTTATTTTAGTTTATTTTATAATTTTAACAAAATATTTGTCTCAGATGAAGAAAGATGTTTTATTTAAATCATTTTTTTTGTCGATACGAACGATACTGTGATGTGTCCTTTTTTTTTTTTTTTTTCAAGAGTGCCCCTAAATTGCGATACTTTTTTTTTTTTTTTTACCTAGCCTGGTCGCAATCCAACCCTTCCAGTTTTCTTATTTTTTTCTTTTTTTTAGGGAAATTTAGAGACAAAATACTTGCTGGTTTTTTTTAAAAATAATTTTTTTTTTTTTTTTTTTTCAAGAGTGCCCCTAAATTGCGATACTTTTTTTTTTCTTTTTACCTAGCCTGGTCGCAATCCAACCCTTCCAGTTTTCTTATTTTTTTCTTTTTCTAAGGGAAACTTAGAGACAAAAGACTTGCTGGTTTGTTTCAAAAAGAATTGCTGGCTGAAGATTATGAGCTGACGATGCTCCTCCTACGCCACATCAAGGCAAGTCAAAGACCCTTCACCATTTGAAGAAAAGATACTTTTCGCAGATTTATAAATACTTTTCGCAGATTTATAGATACTTTTCGCAGATTTATAGATACTTCTCGCAGATTTATATATATTTTTCGCAGATTTATAGCTACTTTTCAAAGATTTATAAATACTTATCGCTGATTTATTGATACTCTTCACAGATTTATAGTTACTTTTCGCAGATTTATATAAATACTAATGTAGATTTATAGATACTTTTTGCAGATATAGATTTTTTTCGCAGACTTCTATCAGACTAACATAAGAATAAGCTTAAATTAAAAATAATATGTATATATATATGTATACTTTTAAAAAAATCAAATCTTTTCTTTGCGGACCGTCCATAAAGTAAGCCACATTCTTTTTGAACAACTTTTCACCCCCCCCCCCCCTGCCTCCTGTCACAAATCTCAGAGGCCCACAACCCCGGCCTAAAAGTACGTCCCACTTTCGGACTAAAAAATAAACTATTAACATATTTTTTTAATGAATTACAATTTAATCTAAAAAAACACTTCACTTTTGAACTATTAAATTTTTTAAATCGAGATTCTTTTTTATGAGACTACATCTAGCTCAAGGAACGTTCAAAAGACCCCATTTCAGGTTTATTTGTATGACTTTAAAAATTGAAATGTGTGAATAACGTAAGATCTTTACAACCTCCACCCTCCCCCCTTTTCCGTTTCACAAACTGTCACAATTTCTTAGATCACCTCTTCTGTCAGCAAAGGGACGTACACGTGTCCCCTTGTGTAAACGTGCAAAGATTTTTTTTATAATTAATTAGATCTGACAGTTTTAACACCTTGGTAATTAAAGAGAATAGTTGTTTATAAAACACCTGAATTATAAACGGGCCAAGTCACTAAGTGTAACAAATACTCATGAGACTTCACTTACAGTACCCCACAGGTGCTGCCCTCTATGCTTACGGTATGCTCAAGGCCATGAGGCAAGCTGCAACCAGCGATGAAGAGAAAGAAATAATTAATGAGCAAATGAAGTAGGTTGTTCTGTTAATTAATGTATAATATAGAAAATGAAACATAACATTATAACTTATTATACAATAAAGCACTGTGAGAGAAGATTGAATAATTGGAACTCATCGGTGAAAGTCGAATGAGATGGGTATTGGGTGGCCCAGTGGTCTAAACTAACTCACTCCAATGAGCCGGTGGTCTGGAGTTCAATCCCCGGCCAAGCCAGCATCCCAAGCACACCGGCTGGATGGGAATCGCTAAGCCTTGGACGGCAGCTCATCTAAGGGAAGGCTAACTCTGAATTCAAACCAGAAGCCAAAATGAACAAATATGTATTTTTTAAAAAAAAGAAGATATCTGTACCCATTACTGGTGGTTGTCTTTTCTTTGACATCTGAAATAAAACCAACAATTGCATCATACTTTGTAAAAAAAACAAAAAACAAATCTGATAATATTCACGAACAGCAATTGGTGGAATTGTCACTATCAAATATTTAAAACGGTTTTGAGGTGAATTTCACATCTAAAAAATGCACAACAGTGTATTACCAGTAAGAAAACTGTTCAACAGCCACATATGGTTTACTCTTATTCTCATTAAATCTACGACAGCCAAATAAGTTTTTTTTCTCTCTAATTCTTTTTTAAATTCTTTGACAGTCAAGAAAGCTTTCTGAAATCCTCATCAACTCTTCAAAAGCCAATAAGGTGTATTCCTAATTCTCATCAACTCTTCGAAAGCCAATAAGATTTATTCCTAATCCTCATCAACTTTTAGAAAGCCAAAAAGGTTTATTCTATTCCTCATCAACTTTTCGAAAGCCAATAAGGTTTATTCCTAATCCTCATCAACTCTTCGAAAGCCAATAAGGTTTATTCCTAATCCTCATCAACTCTTCGAAAGCCAATAAGGTTTATTCCTAATCCTCATCAACTCTACGAAAGCCAATAAGGTTTACTCTAATTCTAATTTCCCACCAGAAAGTTTCAAGCTGAAGCGATCCACACTATAAACACAACGTACGAGGATCATGCCGAAGATGCGATACAGCTTCTCAGTCAGACATTGACCAATTGGGGTGGCACGACATGCATTCTACTGGCGCTAAGAACTGGGAACAAGGCATTTTTGGCCTCACCACCTTGCAAGGAATTTGAGAAGAGAATGTGGAGGACGGGTTCTCACGTTGAAGAGGATATGTGGGTAAAAAGGAGTTTTCATTTCCCTAAAGTTTTTTGTATTTTTTGTAGGTTCATAAAATATTAATGAAACCACAGTTTTAAAACAATGTAAAGAAACTTTCTATCGTTTAAATAAGTGGTTCTCAAAGTGGGGCGACGGCATGTTCCAGGGGGTGTTTGAATACTCGTTAAATTTAAGGGGCGCTCGAAATCTTCAAACGGGAGATTTTGGATTATTTCAAGAACCCATTTTTAACAAAACAATTAATTTCGTTACATTATTTTAACCGGAATTGAGAAAGACACATCAAAGAAAATAAAAATTTCCCACACACATCATAGAATTTTTTTTTTATATTGGTTATCAAAGAAATGGAGGTCAATGGACAATCAGAAACATGAAATGTTATCTTAACAAGAAAAAACAATTATATAAGATAAGTAAATCACTTTTAAAATTTTCTACACATTCACCAGAAAAATTTATTTTAAAAAATCATTTCACGTATCCATTCTAGCGAAAATCGGAAAACATACAATTGATTGGTAAGATTTTCAGTTTTCGAAAACAAATTTTCATCGATGAGAAAGTCTTGTCAGAGCTGGTCATCATGATAACAGCTAAAACCTTATAACTAATATTTCTATTAAGTCTTTATTTTCTTGAACGTTACTTGGTTCAAAAAAGTGTTTGTTATGTACCGTAGAACACATGGTGCGACTGCACATAGTGGCGTTGGGAGGGAAGGTTAGTGCCATCCAGGGTGGGCCAAATTTTTTGGCCATCCCCTTCCAGGCGATAAAGATTTGAAGTGTTCTGAAATTATCATTCCTCAATTTAAGGAAACAAGTGCAACTTGTTGCGGACGTTCCCATTCGCACACCCCAATATCATACGCTATACGCTACTGACTATTGGTAAGTATGACTACGTTCTAAAATTAATGAAAAGCTCACCATAAATGAATAGTTGTAAAGCGTTAAAAAAAATTAATATCAAATATGTAACCATTCGTTGCGTACATCTGTTCTTGTTGCTTTTTTAAAAGCATTGTTTGTTTTAAACATTCTTCGTGTTCTTCACTGCATATGCTACAAATTGTGGCTTTAAAAAGAACAACTGAATGTCCATTGACTTTCAAACAAAATTAATATGTATTAGCAGTGGCGAATCTAGGTTTAGTGTCGCCCGGTGCGGTAAACTCGTAGTGTCAACCCCCTTTCCCGACTTTGACGATGGATTTCTTCTTGTTAAAATAAGTCCACAGTATAACAATGACAAGCGCAAAAAGAAATCAATATAAGATCAGGAGGTAAAGGCATTTAAGAACTGTAAAAACGTTACGTTATAGTTATTTTGCATTAATTTAACTTTATTTACACTTTTCCTTTCCTGGTCTCAAAGCTCAAAGCTGTCAATCACTTGACCAAAATCAATTTCCTTCGCCGTCTTACTTTCAATTGATAGCAGAAACAGATCAGAAAGCCTTGACTGCCCCATGGTGGATAGTAAATAGTTTTTGATAAACCTTAGTTTTGAAAAGCTCCGCTCACATGAAGCCACAGACATATATCGTAAGATACATTTGAAGGCGTAGCGAGAGCATAGGAAGTACCATTAAACTATGAATTTCAAAGCATATATCTGAAATTTTTATTTTTAAGAGTTTTTCACATTTACCAAATACCAGACATAAAAAAAAATGATATCCCCATTCTAGGCCAATCTAAAGCATGCAGTAAGAGTAATTTAGCGAGACATAAGTAATTTACTACACTATTATTAGTAAGCGCTAATCACAATTATACATTATTTACATTATTATACATTGGGGTTGAGGTATCGTTTAAACGTTTTGTGATGTATATAATTAATTGATCATTAAGGCATTTTTACCTATTATGAAAATGAAAAGTAAAAAAAAAAATTTCAAAAAATTCATAATTTTGGTTTATTTCTTTTTAATAAACTTTCTTTTTTATTAACCAAAATTAGCTTTCTAATTCTAGATTAAGTAAAGTTACCTGACATATCCATTGTTAAATAAATATATATTATATATTGCTATTTTCAGATATGTCGTCAATGTGTTTACAGAAAACCGAAGAGGTCAGAAACAAGATAAATTGTAAAAAAAGTACATGTCCAATGTTTAATGTATTTAATAATTTAGGAAACAACTGTTCCTTGCTCTACAATAACCTTTAATTAATAGATGCATAATGTCATAATTTATGTGCGAAAATGAACTTTTCAGACTCTGTCTGATGTGCGATACAGAACTTACAGACGACGACAAAAGACAAGCCAAAATGTCAATAAAAATACTCCTTGCTTTTGAAAAACTTCAACGCTTTACGTATTAAATAATTAACGAAACACATTTCTCTAATAAAATTCAATGTGTGGATACATGATGTGAATATTTTTAAGCACAAAAACAAATTTCCTTATTTTTTTCAGAATATGTCTCAAGTACTCCCATGAAAGGACACAGAATACAGTTAACCAAAAGAAAGACACAATGTCAGTTGCTATTTTTTTTAAATATAATTAAATTCCATTTAAAATTACGAGAAAAAATATATCTATTTGCTCTTAAATTACTTTTAATTATAGATGCCGAATGCCAATATTTATGTTCACATAACACCAATGTGCTTTTTTTTTCAGAATTTGTCCCAAGTGTGAAACTGAGCTTGAGGAGGAAAACTTGAAGAGACTAGAAGCGTTTCTTAGCCCTGCTGTGCGTGTCATCCTCAAATTTGTAAGCAAATAACATTGCACTTTAAATTTTTCTTAGATATCGGATATAATAGAAAAGAGGGGGGGGGAACAATATCGCGCCACCGTTGTACCATTTGACATTGCACCGATAACGATATAAAAATTATTACAGATCCTATTTGATAAGAAGATTTTATTCAAGTCGTCAACATTTTGTCCCCCCACTGACTGCTGTTCAAAAAGTTGTGAATGTCAACAAGTTATATATATTCCTACCATGATTTTAACAGAGTTATGGTGGTGGGGGGTGGGTACATTTATGTTGGGTACATTTATGTGCAAAAAAATATATATATCACTGTGAAAAAAAAATGTTTTTAGTCCTTTTCACTTTATTTTGTTTTGTTACCATCGTCGGCGGAACAGTGGCGGCAAAAGATATTGGCGAATTGGCGGTGGCAAATTGTCAGAGATCAACTTTAAGCATCGTCGGTTGTTGACATTATTGCGGCAGCAATGTTTTGTCTACAAGATTTGATTCATATTATTTATTTTTAAGACCAGCCATATCGTGTTTCTCCTACTTTACGCCATGTTGCTGATATCTGTTTTGGAGACTGAATTTCATTGGTTGGAATGGGTCATCTGGTCTTGGATTGTAACTGGGTTTGCAGAGCAAATCAATCAGGTATCTTTTATTTTCATCAACTTTATCAGATATCTCTCTCTTTTTACCCGCCTTTCTCTTTCTCTCTTTCTTTGGTAAACCTATATCCATCAATATATCTATATCTATAGCTAATCTCTCGCTCTCTCTCTCTCTATATATATATACATATATATATATATATATATATATATGTAACTGATATTTTGTAATATATATTCATAAGAGCATATACTATGCTCCACATCTCATTTATATACTTAAATTTTTCAGCATATTCGGAATCCACTAAACCGACTCTACGAGACACACCAGCTGCGAGTTTTTGATTGGATCGAATCTTTCTCTTTGCTACTGTTCGCCATTACCTGGTTCTGTCCACGGCTCATCGCGTATCTCTATCCAGAAGACACGGAATGGATGACCTGGGCCCGAGTATTATTTAGCATCGATTACATAGGATTCTCAGTTGGGATATTGGAAGTTTGCTATTGTCACAAGTTTCTAGGACCGATCTTATTAATGATAATGAGAATGGTAAGAAAATCCGTAGACACACAAAAATTAACTGACGTTTAAATTTGTTAAAAAAATAAGCAAAACTCATTATTGTAGGTCATTAAATAATTATCATGTATTAAAATAATTATATCCCTTAACATAAACGTGTAAATAATTGTTAAATTTTAAAATCTAAAATTTCTTATTTCTTTACGTCTCATCATCTGCCTGATTCAAACTCGTCTTTAAAATGCAGGCAATTTTTCTTTTTTAAAAGTATAATGTACTATTTAAGTTATAACAGAACTGTCAGATGACAGATGTTTGTATGACTATCAAGCGATGTCTCTTATACTCCACCCTGCTAAAATTTTTGTATATTATTATAATTCATCAAAGTTTCCGTAAAAATACATTTGAACCTCATAATCTATTATGAAATTCGCACAGACACACACAAACATTTTTTTTTTAATTAACGAGCCAATTCCAACATAAACTATTTTTCTCCATTTAAAAATAGGTCATACATCTTTCTGATCACAAGTAACCATTGAATGTAGACATTATGGGAGGTTAAGTTCTGAAATTCTAGGAATCCCTATAATATAAGTATAAGAAGAAAAATAGCTACACGATGGTATAAAATGTATTCAGTTTCTTATTTGGAAGCTCGTGGAGAAGCTTTTCCTTTTTTAAATAAAGCCATATAATGTGGCGTTAAATAAATACAAATTTAAGGCATATCAATAATGTGGCCTTGCAGGCCACGCTATTACGAAACCATGTTTAGCGCCCAACGCAGGAATTTGACCTCGGTGTTAAGGTATCATAACATGCAGCATGAATGTAAAGAGGCCCATGCGTAGAACACTTAAATATTGGAACCCACTATGTGTTTTTGGTTCAAGTTCAATTATTTATTTCTCGGGAACCCTAGCGTGGTAAGATATAAATTATATCTAGTTAGAATAGGGATTTTATTTCCTATAACGCAGTATATTTTCAAGTCTACATCTTTAGGGGGCGTTGTAATATTAAGCAATAAAGTGAGTTTTCACATTCATCCATTGGGCTGGTCCAACATCTTTTATTTAAAATATCTAAAAACTCATTTAACTCATAGAAATATAAGAATGTATCTTAGATAGCCGAGACAAATCGGAAAAGGACAAAATGTAAGTCTTTAGGGCAAATGGTACGGGATTTTTTTTTAAAACTTTTATTTGGGTTGGTGTCGCTGACAGGATGAACATATTTAATAGCGCATGCGCGGACAAGATGAACATATTGAATAGCGCGTTCTGTTTTAATTTCGTAAATCCGCGCCCATTTCTTTAAACTTCAATTGTTCTGCGTGGCGTCAAATCAACGGTTTTAATTATTGATCTCCACAGACCAAAACGCTGATTCAGTTCATCATCATCGTGCTGGTGTTCTGCCTGGCCTACGCCGTAGCCTCCGAGTCGGTGCTATACCCTACGTCACAAATGAACCCGTTGCTGGCCTTCAACGTCTTGAGGAAAGCCTTCTGGGCGATGTTTGGAGAATTCAATCTGGATGAAATCAATGGTTCGTTTAAATAGTGCACACAATTACATACATACGTTGTGGATATTTCTTAATCAACCAGATGTAACACAAATTAATGGGTCTGATAAAGAGACTCATCTTTAAAAATGTATTCGTTGAGTGTAATCGGGATTTTAAAAAAGAAACCAACTGAAAAAAAAATGTTATCAATGAAATTGTAAATAAATATTTCTTTTACTCCCTCTGGGCTCTTAAAGTGGTCATCTCCTAATGTGCTGAACGAGTTCCCCACTCCTCAATTCCCCTCAAACATATCAAATTATGCCATTTATTGTAATAAAATGTTTACAAAGAGACGTAATTATCAAGCATTTTCGCTAAATCGATTAATATAATATTTTAAAGACAAAACAGATATTTGCAAGCTTGAAATGATTTTTTTAACATAAAATAAATTAAGTTTAAAACTATGAAATTTAGAGAGCGTAAGTGGGGATATGTGAAAGAAAACTTAACGTGGATGAAAATCAACTTTTCTATTTTTCCCGTTTGAGCACTCTTTACAAAAAATAATCACATCATTCTAGAGCTTAAACATTATTTCCCCAAGTTTCATTTCATCCAGTGATTATAAACCTAACTATTTTCACCCAACATAGGTGACTCTTGTACAAATGACGCTGGCATCTACAGCACATACGAACAAACCAGATGCCCCACCACCGCTGGAAAATACTATGCACCGCCGCTGATGGGCGTCTACTACATCATTGTCAACATTTTGTTGTTCAATTTACTCATCGCCATGTTCAAGTGAGTCAACCTGTCTGTCCTCTTGACGCCACACGACTGTGCGGGGTGATTTATTGAAAGACGCCGTAGCGGTGACACTGTTGTGATTACCGCACGCTGTTATATTTAATGAGTAACTATAAATCATTTTATGAATATTTTTTTTTTAATTAAAAAAAAACGCTTACTATCTCTACGTTAGCAGGAGTAAAAAACGCACTGTTTTTTTGTATTACTATAAAGCTCAAAAATTGACATCGTTAGAAAGAAAGCTAAGGAGGTCTGGCACCATCAGAAAATGCAGCTGACCTGGAAGTACTGTAAAGTTATCTTTTTGCCGCCGCCTTTTACAATTTTGTCTCCTTTGCTATGGACGTGCAGAGCCGACACGAAAGGAGCCCCTTTTAGTAAGTCTGTCTGCGTCAATTTGTTCATATTGGTCTTTGGTTTGACCAGAGGTTGCAAACCCACGGCACGCGGGCCACATGCGGCCCACCGAGTTAAATTTTTTTGCTGGCGGATGCCTGATTAATGAGAAATAAACGTATTTTTCTTCATTCATTTAACAAAAAAAAACAATGTTAAAACTTATGTGAGAGAAATATAAAACAGAGTCCCCCTATTTTAGTTGTGTTCAGTTTTATTCTTAAGCATTTAATTGCATGAATTAAGAATAAATAAAAGCCTTAATGGGTTTTTATGTTAAGATTTTAATATAAGATGTAATGGCATGCAGCCCGGAAACGGCTTAGTTGCTATCACAGTGACCCGCGAACGCATTTTGGGTTTAACACACCTGGCTTAGACCAATCAGAATTTTTTTAAATTTATTTTTATAGTGCGACATCAAACAACTACTTAATTAGTTTTAGTTTGTTTACTCGGAAAGCCAGAAATATTCTGCTTTATTTTTTTTTCTGTTATTAGAAATCAATAAACTATATTTCACTTCAGCCCAAGATATTGGAGACTACGAGGACCTTCGACTCCAACGGCTGCAGACGGTTGCCCAAAACTCAGACAAAAAAGCAGAGATACCGTATGTAAACCTACTTTATAAAAACTTCATTTTGCACGAATTGATGTATTAAATATCGATTTATCTAAGTCTGGATTTATATGGTTCATTGTTCATGTTAAAAAACCAGACTACATCACCGAAAGAAAAACAACTCGATTCTTTACCGTATTTCAAGATATTGGCATCCACATAAAATGCACACATCCTATTTCCAACTCACTAGATCTAAGAAGGTTAATTATTTATCAAATTCATGTATTTATTCTGAGGCGTATCTAATGCTGCCTGGGGGCAAAATGAAAGCATCGAATTCACATCCTCCGTCAAGTTTTTTCATAAAAAAATAATAAAATCATCCACGGGATGTAAGCCCCCCCCCCCCTTTTTAAGTACGCAAACCACACATTTTTGCACGTCCTTGAACTTAATTAAAGTTTTCAAGTCCCAGATCGCTTTTACCACACCGTTTTTTTTTTTTTTTAAATTTTTTTTAAAATATTATTCTCCTATATTAAAAGATTATGGTTATCTATTTTAAAATTAAAAACTATACCAATGTTCAAATCTGTATACTTTTGAGATATTCTTATCAAAAAGAAGCAATTGCAACTGCATATGGTTCGTTCTTATTTGGATGAGTGATAAATGAATTAGTGATTGATATTTGGCTAATGATATTTTGCTGCACTAACTGACTTAAACGGACTTTTCTTTTTTGAAGTGTATTGAAACGTTAAGTTTTATTTCTTTAATTAAATTCGATAAATAAAAGAAATTGTTTGGAATGAAAAATAGGTACAAATTATTATATATCTAAAATACAAAACAAAAATTTTATTTGTTTTTTTTTCACAATTGAAAAACAATCAATTATATTTATTAATTTTACTTTTAAAATGGAGTAAAATACATGGTTATTTAATCAAAGAAATATAAAGCTTTTGATTTGCAAAAATAAATTTAGCTCTTATGGAATTAATATAATATTTCTTTATTTCAGGTCAATGGAAAATTTTTCTTCGATATTGTTTGAAGTCATTAGATTAAATTAATTTTAATTATATTATTTCGCAATAATAACAACGCACTAAAAACAACAGATTTTTAGGTTTACCCGATAAATGTGGATTTTATGTTAGCTTTGGATCGGCTTTATAGTTTAGGGATAACATTATTTTCAATGTCTGGTATTTGGTAAATTTGCAACACTCTTAAAAACAAACTTTTAGAAATATGTCTTGCAGCTACTATTGCTTGCAGTAAAGATATTCTACCACATTAAACATCCAAGATATAAGATGTTTTAAATACAACCATTTGCTTACTTACTTTACCACTTTGCAGGAAAAATTACGTGAAATTTTCTTCTAAAGTCAAAACTCTTGGTTTGACTACTTTGGCTTTGGCCTCCTTTTCAAATCGGTTTTGAAATACTAAAATGTGCCTAAAATCGAAATTTTACTTTGAGAGTCCAAGAGCATATTAATGCGTATAATTAAAGATAAATGAGTCATATTCTATAAGATAAATGTCTAATATTTTCAGAGTTCAATGCAATGGAAAAATAATTTGCACACACAAAGGTGAGTCGTAAAAAGTAAAAAAAAAAAAAATTTAAGAAAAAAAATCTAAACATTTTAAATATTTTCTAATTTAATTTTTTTTAAATCGGTTGAGTTAAAAAATGTATGCATGTTAATTTAAACCTACGCAAATTGTAAAATATATTTGTTCTATCCATCGGGCCATCAGCCCTTGTGTTTGTTTTAATTTGTACTTTAACTAGTCGACATTTTTGTAAATAATTAATTTAATTATAAAATTAAAATGCATGCAATCATCTAAACACCTATCAAATAGAAATTTATCAACACTGTCTTTCCGTGTTTCAAAATAATTTCATTTAGCATTGAAAATTCTTTTGAAAATTGATTAGATCTATTATAATTTTGATTTTTTTTTTTTTTAAAGATCCCAAAAAAGCTGAAGGTAAAACATTTTTAAAATGTGTCTTCTATTTCTGAAACTTTTAAAATTTTATTTTAATTTAATTTAATTTTTTTTTTTAAAGTTGGCTCATTGTTTTTAACTGTTGGTATTTTTTTTTTTTTTTTTTTATATTTATTTTTTACATATTTATTTGGTCATTGTTGTTAACTGCTGGTAGGTTGGTTTTTTTTACATATTTATTTGGTCATTGTTGTTAACTGCTGGTAGGTTGTTTTTTTTTACATATTTATTTGGTCATTGTTGTTAACTGCTGGTAGGTTGTTTTTTTTTAACATATTTATTTGGTCATTGTTGTTAACTGCTGGTAGGTTGTTTTTTTTACATATTTATTTGGTCATTGTTGTTAACTGCTGGTAGGTTGTTGTTTTTTACATATTTATTTGGTCATTGTTGTTAACTGCTGGTAGGTTGTTTTTTTTTTACATATTTATTTGGTCATTGTTGTTAACTGCTGGTAGGTTGTTTTTTTTACATATTTATTTGGTCATTGTTGTTAACTGCTGGTAGGTTGTTTTTTTTTACATATTTATTTGGTCATTGTTGTTAACTGCTGGTAGGTTGTTTTTTTTTTACATATTTTTTTGGTCATTGTTTTTAACTGTTGGTAGGTTGTTGTTTTTTATTTTTTTTTACATATTTTTTTGGTCATTGTTGTTAACTGCTGGTAGGTTGTTTTTTTTTACATATTTATTTGGTCATTGTTGTTAACTGCTGGTAGGTTGTTTTTTTTTTACATATTTATTTGGTCATTGTTGTTAACTGCTGGTAGGTTGTTGTTTTTTACATATTTATTTGGTCATTGTTGTTAACTGCTGGTAGGTTGCTTTTTTTACATATTTATTTGGTCATTCTTGTTAACTGCTGGTAGGTTACTTTTTTTCAACATATTTATGGCCAACAGATGTTTCACGTTCTCTTAAAACAAAAATTAAAAAAAAAATGTTTGGACATGGTTGAACTTTACAATTTCATACTAGGACAAAATATATATTATATATATATATATTAGTTTGAAGGAAATTGTTTTTGAATCCTTTCGTTTTCCACAGATCCAGATCAAAATGGCCAAAATGAAGACAAACAAAAGAGTGAGAGTAGAGATATTCAAATAGGTTCGTTAATCAATATAGTACATCCAATATTATAACATAAAATATACTTACATCATATTTAATTTTCTGACTTAATTAATTCATGAAATCAATTTTTTTCTCCTCTGGGTTAAATTAGATCCAGCAGAAAGTAAAAGAAAGAAAGAAGAGGGTGAGTTTCGCAAAGTGTATTTACTTGTAAACTCACACACGCACACACACACACACAAGTGACGCACACTTAGGGCCTACCTACAATCGCACATGCATCAATAAAAAAAATTGTATCGTAGTTAAATCTTAAACTCTCTTTTTTGTTTCTCATTGTGCTGGACTTGAGGATGATTGGTGCGTGTCATTTCCTCAAAATAACTTTTAACAGTAAGTTTAATTGTCAACATGATTGACCAAAATCGACAAATTTTGTTTTATATTCTGAAATATTGTATTCAACATATTTAGAAGAAATACGATCTTCTTTGAGAAGTGTTTGCTTTTAGAAATTACTAATAATCATTAAAAAAATATTTTTTAGAAACTTGACGAAAATCTGTTAAAACAACCTTTTTTCTAATTACAGAAAAATAACCTTAAAACAAATTACATTACCATCACTTTTGTGACACTCAATTATTTGTTTCCCATTTTTTCTTGAGACCACACTACTACGCCAAAAGTAGCAAGAGATTATTTTTTAAAAATTATATAAATGCTTTTTTTTAATTAATAAAAAAATAATAATTAATCGTGCAATTTAAAATAATTGGGCATTTAAATTTAATTTAAAAAAAAAATAATATTCTTGTTCACAAGTAACATCTTTTTTGTTATAATAATCGATAGCCTGTATTTTGACAAACTTTCGTTTTTATTTGAAACTTACGTTTTCTAGTTGAATATCTTATATCACTTCCTCGACAGATGCAGTGGCAAAGAGCAGTGCTGCACCAGAGTGTAAGTGATTTCATTGACACACCTCATTCTCGGCATATTTAAATTTTACGAAACTCATCTACATTATTTGTTTATACAAACATGACTTTGTGTTATTTACGTATTTAAGTTAAATTGCAGAGTAACCTCTCCTTATTGGAGTAATGCTATGTCGTCTACTAGATTTCAGGCAATTATGAAAAATGTCGTGGAATGAATTTGATGGAATCGTGGGATTATTTAGGGTGAAAGAAACACAAGATCCGGAGATTCGGGTGGTCCTAGAAAAGTGTCTGGGATGTGAAAAGGTTTAATGCCATGGCGCTTGTTTGTGTTCCGTCGGAAATTCATCGAGACACAACACACATCATAAGCCAGAAGATTGGCGCACCACATTGCAGCCCAGCGAGGAGACATACAGCGTTGATACTGAATGTCCATTTAGACCTGTGTCAGCTCTAGAGACCGACCAAATTTTGGCTGGGGTTTCGGTTACGGGGTCACAAGTTGCAATTCGATCACTTTCTGCATTGTTCTGGGTTTTTTTCCGTATCAGAAATGTTAACTTTCGTTTTATTTTCGGTTTCATTCGAAAGGAATTGCGAAATTTGGCCGTCTGGTCGAAAGTGAATGAGGATTTCGGTCTTCTACCAGAAGTCAGATTGTTAATCTCTCTATAAGTCTGCCGGAAATCCGATATTCATTATTGCTCAACGTCTTGCTGTTATTGTGTGATATAGAACTAATACTCATCGAACACCGCTTTATGATTAACTACTTCTCCATTATTGCAAAAAATAATTAGTTTTGTTGAAAAATAAATACAGGAATGGTATTATATAAAATTTGGAATCTTAGGTTTCTTCAATTCATTTATTTGTTATATTCATTTTGAGTTATCATTATCATGCTCATAAATATGGTCATAGGTAAAGGTGGAACACATTGAATATCCAAGGGAATGGTAATATTATTCTATTATTATTTTTGTTTAATTGTTTTTTTAAATAAAAATTCTGGAAACTTTAGCTCATTCAATTCATTTATTTTTTGGATTTCATCAGTATCATGCTACTTAACATTGCTATTGATGAAATAACACATGCGTGCATGTATCACCGTATCATATAATCATTATTATATAGTAGGCTTACTTAGTACTGTATTATTTTACTAAAAGCATTTCAAAATTAAAATTTTTCGACTTATGGTTACCTGGGTAAAATATAAAATTATTCGATAATAGTAGCTGCGGATAAAAAAAAAATGTAAATGTCGATTAATAAGAAAGAGTGTTTCAAATAAAATGTATAGTTAAGAGCAGGGGTCGGGAACCTAATGCTTGCGAGCCAGATGTGGCTCTATTGATGGCTGCATCTGGCTCGCAGACAAATGTTCGATTATTAAAAAAAAAGTCGCATTATTAATGGTAAGAAATACTCATTATTGATTAGCAACAGCATAACAATGTTATGAAAAAGAATTCAGAGACATAATTACTGCATTTTTAGTGTTGAAATTACACAAAATACACACTTTTACTTGAATTTTTAGTCTGAAACATACTGTATGGCTCTCACAGAATTACTCTTTAAAATATGTGATGTCCATGGCTCTCTCAGACAAAAAGGTTCCCGACCCCTGGTTTAGCGGAACAAATAGTTCCTTCAAAGCTATGTGTATTTTTAGTGGGCCATACCAATAAAATGCATAAGCTACGCTTATGATCTATACTAAATATGTCTAGGCAGTGTTGTAAAAGTAATTATATTATAAAAGTAAAGGGCCCCCAAGGGTCTATTTCGCATGAATTTTGCCCCAATTTGTCTAAATTGTCTCTTACCATATTACTTTAAAAAACGTTTTTAACAACTTCAAATCACTTTTAAATCAAATGGTAAAAGCCAGAGTGTTGTGTTTTAGATGTTTATCTATTAAAATTGACGACAATCTCATTTCTTATAAAATAATATAAACATATATACTTTCCCCCATCAGTTGTTCGATGTTCACAGTACGCATGCGCGAGCGAGTTTAGAAATATCTAAACTTTCCAGTTTAGGTTTCGGACGAAAGATTAGATAATTCTTTGGTTTCAGCTTCGGTTTCGGCCAAAAGTCATTTTTAACTTGGGGATGATTTTCAGTTTTGGCTGATATCAGAAAATCCCTTTCATTTGGTCTCTAGTCTGCTCTTAGTCTTATAAATGGAATGTGGCCGTGCATGTCAAATTTTCCCAGACTGCTCTCAAAGGTTCTTATGTTGTCAACTTGACGTCCCGTGAGAATAAACACCGCCAAAAGCGGCGCTGCTGCTAGTTCCAGTTTATTATGTAGTTATCAGCTGCTCTCTTCATGTTAGAAAGTTACTGATGGTCTATAGTTAGTATTATTTTGCTTCTCATATGATTACATGTTTTTTTGTTTGTTGTTTTTTTCATTTTCAGCAGTTTCATTTCTCTAAACTTTTAGGACCTAGTTTCTTTTCATCTTAGCAAATGTTTCTCCATTAACTCGTTTGAAAACGACCCACTCATGAAACGAAAATCAAGATATATTGA